TCTCCATCCAAGGCTCCTAAGATCATGTTGTTTTTCTTTTCTTTTCTCTATAGTGTGTGTTATCATCTCTCTCACTTCTATTTATATTGGGGGCGGCAATATCTCCTAATAGGTTAAGGAGATATTGCCTATGTAAGCATTTTCTAACCTTATCCTTGTAAATCCCGAGCCTTATCCAATAGGGCCCAAGTTTATCCTTCTACCAAAATATCTTATAGACTTTTAAATTAGGCCTATTGACCAAAACGCTTTTGACCTAATTAACTATCAATTAATTTGGACCATCTAAATAAATTCAATAAGACATTTATAGGTAGCCCATATTAGGAAACAATTTTCTAAATTTCTCTTAAACCTAAATTAGAAAACTAATTTCCTTTTTAGGTAACTATTTTCCAAATTTGGAACCGACTTTCAAATTATGTAAAATAGAAAACTGAATTTCCAAAATAGGAAACTTTCTATTTTAGGAAACTAACTTTTCAAAATAAGAAACCTTTTTCAAAACATTTGCTTTTCTTTTATTATGTGAATGTTTAAAATTATGTGTGTGACTTAATAGGCTTTTATACATGTTAACAATGTATCAAGAGTAAAGGATACTTTTTTTATCTCTTGATATATATAAATCAAGATTGGCCTCTAATAAGACATAATGACTATCCAATTCTTTAGGAGGATTAATTAATCCCTAATTACCTTTCATAAGCATGGTACCATCCAATTTATCATAGTATGATCTTGAACTTGGTTTATAGTTTTTTTGATTATGATCGCATAAGTTTCCTTTGATTCCTAAATGTCTAAGCTCACAAGTAAACTAACTATGCTATATTGGTATACCCCCACTATGGCCATAGATTCCCCGAGAAGAAATTTATCAAAGTGCAATGCGATAACTTTTTTAGCATACAAAGAATGACATATCCTATCCTAATCATCCACCTATCTCCATTAGATTATGAATGTACCCAACGAATTGCCAACATGCGGTTCTTGACTAAGCCCATCAAAACGAATATCAAAGTACATAAATCTTCTAAGGAGATAATTGTGATGACTTCAAGTCAAAGAAGCGAGTTGTACACATCTCATATGAGATTGCCATAGACTAAACCAAATAGGTTTTCATGATGAGTCACATCAAGTGATATGTTCTCTAATATTAATCACCTAAGTGCTTGTTTTGGCATCATCATGTCAATAGGTGTGAGATCTTCTACTGCTATCTTATAGCATGAGTATGGCACTAATAAGTCTTACCACATATAGTAAATGTTACCACATATAGTCAATATTCATTCTTGAAAATGCTATGACTTGGGACATTTAATAATATCATTTAAGTGCATTAATGTTTGGCTTTCATCTTTCGATTAATCATTATTGTAATATATATCATATGAACTTTTATCTAATTCTATCAAATTATAAACAACAATAATGAATAGAAAGACTTCTTTTAGATATATGAAAAAGAAATATTACAATAAATCAAACTATCCAAATAAGATTGGATCTAGGGCACTTATACTAACAATCTCTTAATTGCATTAGAGCTAATCAGCCATATCCCTTATGCTTGATGATTGAACAAAGGTCTTATGTTTTTTCTATGATAAAGTTTTAGTCAAGGGGTCAGCTATGTTATCATCACTATGAATCTTTTCTATCCTTACATTACCACGATTAATAATCTCTCTTATGAAGTGTTAATGTTACAATACATGCTTGGACTATTGATGAAACATTAGTTCTTTAGCTTGTGTTATGGGTTCGTTGTTATCATAATACAATGTTATCGGATCAATAATGCTAGAAACAACTTGTAGTGTGATAGATTCCTAGTTGATTTTTGTGACTCATTAGCGATGGATTAGCAAGGAAAACTTAGCGACTAAAATAATTTCGTTGCTAATTTATGCGACCAAAAAAAAGCAACACTTTTTTAGATGGATTAGCGATGAGTTTTTGTTAGTAATTAGCTATTGAAGTAAATCTATCGTGCATCATTGCTAAAAATGATCGTTGAAGCCAAAGTGGAATAAATTAGCGATGGATTAGGAATCCGTCGCTAATTTAGCAGATAACATGGAGATGGATTTGAATCAGTTGCTACTTTTAAGGATTTTAGAGGGAAATATCGACCAAAAGGGCAAAATTAATAATAGACTGGAGAATCCGATGCTAATTTAGGGAGACAATAGCGACGGAATCACATTTTGTCATTATTGTGGAGGGAATTTTCCCTCCTAAGTTTGCCAATTTCCCTATAAATATCCCTTTCCCTTTCATCTTCTCCATTTGGCTCTCTCTCGTCTACCAAAAACCGGAAAACCACCACCATGCCGCTCCATGACATCAAGTGACTCCCCAAATTATTCAACAAAGTGAGGTGCATCTTTCTCCCTTAAAATCAAACTAGATCTATGCTCCCTCCTTCATCTCTCGAGTAAAATTTTATCTCTTTAACTCTTATTTTTTTTAAAATTAAATAAATATTATAAATTTCATAGATTAATTTTGTTGTTTGTTAGTTGATTAATTATTTGAATGTTGTTAATTTTTAATTATGTTAAGTTGTATGTTAATTATTACTATAAATTTCTTAATTGTTTATTCAATTTTCTCAACTCGTTAGATTAATTTTGTTAAGTGTTATTTTTTTAGTTATGTTAAATTTTAGGTTAATTTTATGTTAATGTAAAACTAAAAAAGTTTAATTATGATAATTTTTTGGGTTCAATATTATTAATATATTTATGTAATTTAGTTTAGGTTGATTTATAGTTAAATTAAAAATTTTTAATTTACGCAATGTAGTTTTGAAATTAAAAAAATTGGAATAAAAATTTAATTGGAAAATAAACATAAACATTTTATTAATTAATAGAATTTAATAAAAATTTCATTTAAGATTAATTAAATTAAATTTAGTTGAATTTATTATTAAATTCATTAGGAAAATGTAATAAAAATAATTTTTTACCCTTTAAATATTTAAAATTTCATATAATTTAAGTAAAAATAAAATTTTTTACCTTAATCCCTTAATTAAGAACCCATTCAATCCAAACATAATACTTAAAATTTAACTTTAATTAATTAATTTAGACTTCAAATAATGTAATTAGATGAGATAGAATGAGAAATAACATTTGAATTGAAAAATTAGCTTTAATTACCTAAATTAAGGTTTAGGCCTAATAAGGCCCAATTTGGAGTTTATACATGTAATAGATCAATTAATGCCTAATTGAGTTAATTTAGGCATAATGAAATGAAATTATATGAAAATTTGGTATTAAAATTAAAATTAAATGTTTGGTTTAGACTAGGATTATTATTCGACCTAAGGTAGACAATGTAAAAAAATAAAACTATACACTAAATCATTGAATCATATAAAAGTAAGTATTTAAGAATTAAAAAATAAAAAAAATGTAATTATTTTTTAAACAATTTTTTAAATATAAAGTCAAATTCTTAAAAAAAATTTCATAACTAATTAGAGACAATTACTCAACTAATATATATGCTTAATATTTATTTAAAATTTATAGGAACGATGATAAGTGATTGTTTACATTGGTTGTGTCATTTTTGCAATAATTAAAAAAATGAGATATGATCGATAATTGATGAATGTGAGTTTATTTAATGGATTGTTAAATGATGACTTTGTCGGAGGTATAAAATAATTTCAGCTTTCACTCGTTGAGCATCCTAAATGTATGGACGAAACCAAAATTAGGCGCCTTTGTAATTTCGGTAAGTATCAAAATCAAATTTATAAAGAGGTTGAAATAGTAAACTATCATTTATGCTATAAGGGTTTTTTAATAGGATATTATGCTTGGGTATATCATGACGCATTTGAAACATATATGGCATTTGAAAATTCTAAGAGTTAGTATATTTTTGGAAATTATTATGTTGGCAAAGATAGCTCCAGTGAATCCCAAACCCATATCAAACTATGGTAATGAATGCAACCGGTCCATCCTTTGATCTATCTAACACGGAGAAGGTTCTTAATCCTAGCACATAACACTTTATGATATGTTGAATGCATCATGTACAAAGATTTGGCCTAGTTGTGATGAGCACTCGAATTATCAACAATTGCTCAAATGCTCGAATCTAAAGATCAAATATCATTTTCGGAGAAGTGTTTTGACTAGTTATATGAGTTGATGGAGTCGATGTTCGTTGATAACTCGTATGATAAGCAATTTTTATGAAACAAAGAAGTTGGTTAAGGGGGTTTGAAAAAATTCATTATTGTCGAACGTGTGTATGATTTATTAGAAGGAAGATTATGAATTAGATAAATGCGAGTTTTATCAACATCCTCGTTATTGAAGTTCTCGTCAAGGATTAGGAAGAGGAAAACTTATCCCAATTTAAAAAAATATACTAGTTCCCTCTAACCCTACATTTGTAGCGATTGTATGCATTTAATGTGACAATTGAATACATGACATGGCATGCTGAACATGAGGAAGATGATGCGAGCGGTAATACATCATCCTTCGATTCTATTGCTTGGTAAAGTTTCAATCGGATTAATCTTACTTTTACAACTAAAAGAAGGAACGTCGGATTAGACATGTGCATCGATGGGTTTCAGCTATTTGGTTAATCCGATGCATAGTATTCCTTGTGATCGATCATTGTGACTCCATATAATTTGCCACCATGGATGTGTATGAAGGAGGAATATGACTTGCGTTTGTTTCGGGGAAAACAAGTTCCCGGAACTTGTTTTTTCCATTTTCCCATGTTTGTTTTGTAATTTTTGAAAAAATTCAATGGAACTTATTTTCCGATCAAGGAAAATTTAAAGACAAACTTTGGAAAACCGACTTCTTAAAAAAAAAAAGGGAAAACATTTTCAATTTGCTAGATCTGTTGTCCCGTTCTCACTCAAACCCACCCAACACCCGAAGTTGACCTAAGGACGCCCTCGCTACCCAACGCCACCACAACAAAACTAGCACAATCGTCGAGCCAACAAAGCCTATAAAAGAACACCGATATGCACTATTTTCCCTTCCGGGATCGTTTCCCTCTCCCTTCCTCTCTCTATCGCCTATCTCGGTCTAAGCCGGAGGAAAGCGCAAACACCTTCGCCACTAGCCTTAGCCGCCATCGCCTACTCCGCTGACCTCGGTCGACTTTGCCGGTGTGGTTTTGAGGTAAATTTATTTCTCTCTTTTCTCAAACATAAGAGTTTAATTGTGTAAAATCATCGAGTGATTGGGTTGCCAACATAATCCTAAGAACTAAGATTTTAAGAAATTAAGATTGGGCTTTGAGATTTTGAGGTTTATACTTTTTTTTTGAATTTCTTTGTGGGTTTTTCTTTTTCTTAGATCTCGTAGTTAAATTTCTTTAAGTGCTAATTTCGTGACTAAAATTTATAAAATAGGGCTTATAGAGGCTTTCAACCTTCCGGAGAAATTAAGGATTATATAAAGCCGGAGTAAGCTTCATAGTTTATTTGGGTGGCAACTCATCTTCCCCAACTGATGTGTTGATTACAAAATGAAAGGCATAGTTTATTTGGGTGGCAACTCACCTTCCAAGTCGCTTGAACTGTGATTATGTGGGGTTTTGTAGGGTTTCTAAATTTGCATGTGAATTTTGAATATTATAGTATTACGTGTATAGTTTGACTTTTTTCATTAGATCTACTTATTAAGGTGTAATAATGCTAGTTTCAAACCACAAAATCTGAAATTCGAAGTGGAATGTGATACTGTTGGTTTCCCATTGTGTGTTTTAATGTGACATATGATGCTAGAATTGGTTCTATTTATGATCATCCCATAAGTCATCTCCGTTTCTCAAAAACTACTCTATTGTTCTCTCGTAGAACCTAAACTAATGATCAACTATCTTCGGACCTTGAAATCGTCCGATGAGTTATTAAGAGAGCAGAGTTGAATGATTGTATCGATCTGTTGGTTCTTTTAGCTTTGTAAGAGATTATCATGCATGTAGGATTTCACCATGCTTTCTTTTTATTGTTAGTTAGAAAAGACGAAGAAGAAGGAAGTTGCCTTCATTGGAACTTTTGCCAAATGGGAGCGAGGAGATTATGGAGCCGAACGTGAGTCCCTCTCTCTCTCTCTTTCACACACACACACGAGTTGGTAGGAGAGGATCGACAGAGTATTTCACTTTTTTTCATTTTTTTCATGAATGCTACATTACATAATCACTACAATTGCCTAGGATGGATTATATATAAGACATACTTGTAGGACTAATGTTATTAGGAAGACATATGCTCGGATTGGCTTAAATGAAAAGAGCATGATAGTATATTTATCGGGAAACCAAAAGTCATGGTCAAATCAAATGTGAAATGGCTTCATATGGTTTACCCGAACATGTATATAAACGCACGGGAAAAGAAATTTAGAATCATCGCTTTGGGAGGAGAATGTAATAACCACATAATACGGCTTTTGTAGTTGATTGTAGGGACCTACTAGGTCTTCTTCACCATCTTATACTTGTCGTATGTGTATCCCGAGCCTTGGAGTTTTCGTGCTTGCCTGATTGGCCGTGTTCTTAGGTGTCACATATTTGTCTAATTCTAGTTCACTTTTACATTTACGATCTGTCGTCCGTGATTTAAGAACGTAACTCAAGCCATGTATTCATGAATTTGTGTGAGAATTTATGATTTCCATTGAATTTGTGCCATGTAAACAATTGGATTTAGGAGGCATCGAGTAAATTAGTCCTTTTTGTGTTTTAAATTGCTAATTGGGTCTATTAGTTGCATTTGTCTTACCATTTTCCGTGCAATTATTAAACTAATTGGGTCATCCTATATTTTATACCATCATAAGTAAAAATATGCATATTACTTGATACTTCTCATCCTATTTCTACCACTTGTGAGTTCTTGTTTTCTTGATGAATAATTCTTTTAATGTCATATTCATTTGAAACTAAACTGATTTAGTAATATATGCATTTCACTTTTGTTCCAGGGAACTTCGTTAGACTTTTATGTGACTTCTAAAAAAGAGAACCCAATCATCATATTCGGGTATACATCTTTACTTGGTAGTGAGGAAGTATATCCTATGTATTGTCTCATCCTATATTTTTTTTAAATTGTACTTTTACTAGTATAAGATGACAAGTTTGAAAGCGAAATATTTGATCTCTTGGAAACTATATACTTGAGAATTCTAAATATTTGTTTGTTTATTTCATAACTTATATATTTGATATTCAATATATTTGAAATTTTTATGTAGATGGATAGGAAATTGATTCGCCTCATAGGCACGATGGGCGCTTCAATTGCAATCACTCGCATGTCATATAGTTAAAGAGTATAAAAAAAGGACTACCATACCAAGACAACCTTGAACCGATAGAAGTTATATGAGAGAGTTCTATATAAATAGTATACTTAACCGGGGTGATCGGTATTGTATTGCATAAATTTGTATTCCTCAAAAGTCATTTGAAAAAATGTGTGAGGTTTTGAAGACAACCAACCTTCTACAATCAACTAGAAATATGACCGTTAGAGAACAAGTAGTGATGTTCTTACAAATAATTGGGAACAATGCAAGATTTTGATTTATTAGTGAAAAATTTTATAAATCTATTGAAACGAGTGCATAGATATTTTAGAATTGTATTGGCAACAATTCTAAAATTGTACCCATATCTCATTCAAGACCTACCTAACTCAATACCCGAAGTAATTTCCAACAATGAAAGATTTTCTCCATATTTTCAGTTACTTATCTCTTTTATTTGTTATAAAAAAAAAAAACTTACTTTAAGTAATTTCATTAAAAATTAGATTTTCATAAATATTAATTTTTTATTTAGGATTGCATTGGACCGCTTGATAGTACCCATATTCCAACAAGTATACTTCGGAACTGCAAGGAAAGTTTCATGCTAGAAAGAGTGACACAACATAAAATGTATTGGCGGCCATAAATTTTGAATTAAAATTTACTTATATTTTAGCTAGTTGGAAAGGCGAGTGCACATGATTCTCATGTCTTAAACGATGCATTATCACGATCCGAAGGACTTAAGATTCCGGAAGGTATTAAATAAAATTTTTAATGTATATTCTCTACTCATATAGTTATGCATGTATACAAATATTTATTGGTGGTATATTTTATAAAAAATTATAGGTAAATATTATCTTAGTGATGCTTGGTTACGGAACACGAAATGGAGTGATAACTCCATATCATGGTGTTCGATATCATTTAAACGAGTTTACTAAGCATCCAATTGAGAATGCAAAGGAGTTATTTAATCTTCATCATTCTTCCTTGCGAACAACAATTGAACTTGGTTTCGTCATACTAAAGAAAAGATTTCGGTGTATTGATGCTCGACCATTTTGGTCCTACAAAACTCAAGTGAATATCGTGCTTGCAAGTTGTATCCTTCATAATCATATAATAGGAGTTGACCTTGATGATTATGTTATGGAAAAAATTACCACGTCAATCCAATCTACGATTGTGGATAGAACCCGTTTAAGTCAAAGAGAAGAAAGGGAAGAGAATAGGGAATGGTTAGCGAAAAGAGATGTCATTGCATTAGATATGTGGAATGACTATGTTGTACAAAGTGACTTGTGATTTTAAAGCACCATCAATGTATTTACTTATATTTTACTTCTTGACCGAATGTATGGCTAATGGGGAGATAAATTGATAGAATGGAAAGAACTTTGTATTTTATTTTATCCAACCAAGTTTTTTGTTGTAATTTTATTATATAACTTTTTTTTATAAGTAATTATACTATATGTTTTATGTTTTACAACTAGTGTTATTTCAATTACAAAATATCACATCATTATTTATTAGTTTAAGTTTATAAATTTTAATATAAAAAGGTTCAACAAGATTAACTTTATTTTTTTCTCATTCTAAAAAAAATAAATTAATTCTACTAATAAATATCGATAGGAAGATGTTAAAAAAGTTCAAATAATGTTTCTATGCCTTGTTGAAATTAATTCTACAAAATATCACATTATTATTATTAGTTTAAGTTTATAAAATTGTCAATATGCCTTGTTGAAATTCTTTCAAAATTTGTTGATATAACAACTATAGTATGTTTTTGTATTTTTGTTTTCCGTATCAAACAAACACCGAAAAATGTTTTTCAGTAGTTTTTCCATTCAACTCGCCAAACTTCAAAAAATATTTTTTGGAAAACAACTTCCTAAAAAATAGCTTTCTTAGAATTGGTTTTCTCATTGGAAATTATTTTTTACCAAACAAACGGAGCCTATATGTTCCTAACAATGATTGTTTCAAGTTTAATAAATCTGAAACATAAGTTGGACATTTACTTATGGACTTTCATATGTGAGTTTATCTAGTTATGAAAAATAGGTGTGATGACCAACGATGTATACCGTAAGCGAATTTTTTATTAAAAGCTACGGTTATAAGGACTATCGGTGACTTTCTAGTATATTTGATGTCTGTCTTATTGCAGTACTTTAGTAATACAAGCTTATCCTTACTATATGAAAAATTCGGATGCTTTCACCCTTCTTGATGGAAAGAAGACCTTTCGATTTGACAAGCATCGTAAGTTCTTCCTCATGATCATCCGTATAGAAGAAACTAGAAAGCATTTACTCGTTAAAAAAATTGTTAAATCCGGCCCTCCTCTAATCCAATCTAGAGTAGAAATATTACATATGGTGGAATAGTAGGGTTGTTGATGGCGATAGAGGATGGTGTAGATGATCATAACAATAGAATCTCTCAAATGTGTGGATGGAGGAAAAGGAGTATATTTTGGGATTTACCTTATTAGAGTGCAAATCTCATTTGGCATAATTTAGATACTATTTATATTGAGAAAAATGTGTTTGATAATGTTTTTAACACAATCATAAATGTTTCGAATAAGACTAAAAACAATGCCAACTCCATAGAAGACTTGAAACTTTTTTGTAAAAGGTCGAATTAGAAAAGGATGATGCATCTAATAAGTATCCTAAAGCTGTATTTACTCTATTTAAATAACAAGAAACAAAATTTCTTGAATGGATAAAACAACTCGGGTTTTCCAATGGATATGTGTCCAATCTAGCGAGATATGTTGATATATAGCATGAAAAACTTTATGGGATGAAAAGTCATGGCTATCACGTCTTCATGTAAAGGTTACTTCCAATTGCATTTTGAGAGTTTTTGTAAGAAAATGTTTGGTATGCACTTACAGAGTTGATTTTGTTCTTTAAGCAATTGACTTCAACAAGTAAAAAGGAAAAAAGATATATTGTGACTTAATTATGAGATATCCATCATATTGTGCAAACTTGAGCATATATTTTCACCCGACTTTTTGACTCTATGGAACATCTTTCAATCCATCTCGCCATATAAGGCATCTATTACAGGACTCGTGGAATATCGTTGGATGTATCCATTTGAAATGTATTGCATTCAATTTAAATGTAGAATTAAATAATTTTCTAACATTTGAAAGTTAAAATAATTCATTTTGTTGGTATTTACGGAAGCTAAAAAATAATGTTAAGAGTAAGGCTAAAGTGGAAGGATCAATATGCAATGCATATTTGATCTAAGAAGCCTATTTATTTTGCTTATATTATTTCGAGTCTCGTGTGCATACTAGGCATCCGAAAGTGCCGTGTAATGTTGACTACTACGATGGAGAACAAAGCGACCATATTAAAGAGATGTTATCCGCATTCAAACATGAAGGTTAACCAATTGGTTGACACGGAATACAAAATTGACACAACTAGAACACAAACCAGCTCACTTAATATATATTATTGAATTATGAAGAAGTAAAACCTTACATTAAGTGATTTTATCAAAATTCAAATTCTATATCATACCTATTTTATTAAATTTAATAATATTAGCAATATAGTAAAGATTAACCTAAGTTTATTGTTCATTCTCTTCTCTTAGTGGGTTTCTTGTCGAAATGCAACCGACCAATCCCTTCATGTCCGAGAATGAGGTCGATGCTTTAATTGAAAATGAGTTTGCCTCTTAATTTAATCAATATGTAAGTATTATCATTTTATATGCTTAGTTTATTAATAAAATTAATTAAAAAAGAGAAAAACTTATAAGGGATTTTATGTTTAATTTATAGATACAAAATGCACAAGCAATTTTTATGAAAGATCAGCTCTTAAAAGATCTCACATAAGGCCCATTGCTTATTGTAAGATTGTATAGTGGTTATTTTGTTAATTGTTATAGGTTCCACACACTTGATGGACCTTCGAAAACGAGTCTTTCAATAATGGTGTCTACATTAAAGGAAGCAACTATAGTACGATCGAGAGTGACTATTATAGGATACCGATAAAAATTCTTAAAGTAGAGTATCTCGCATTACCAATCAAAATAACGAGTATTATTCAAATATGATTGGTTCGACCCTACACTACAAGGAACAAGGGTTCATCCACGAGTACAAAATTGTAGACATTAATTGTTAGCAAATCTTGAAAAATCATGAATCATTTGACTTGGCATCACGGTCGCCACGAGAATCAAAATTGGTGGGTCGTATGTAAAATCGAGCTAGGTCTATATTTGACTTCTCCGATTCATCGACTACTCGTCCAACAAAATGTCGAATCATTTTAGCAAGACGATCTAAAAATCTAACATAAATTGATAGAGAAAGTTATGGATGTCACTTTGTTAAATGATCTAAGTGGATCATTTGTAAATATAGAAGTAGGTATGGTTGATGATTATAATGATTGTGAAAATGCATCGGATGATGGAGATGATAACATAAATAATAATTACAATAATTCTAATTAAATTTATATTTCATTCATTATATTAGTAAGAAATGATGTAATTTTTTTCTCTTTATTAATTTGTTACATATAGTTAATAATATCGATTTTCCTACCTCAACTAAATATTTATTGTGTATTTTGATTGTTTTATATCCATAAAAAATGATGCATTTTAATTTAACTACTTATTAATTTAATCGACAATGTATTTGTTATATGTCGTTTATTTTTTTAATGTTAGATCACACAATAATGACTCGGGGTAATTGTGGTTTGCGTCGTCCCCTCATAGACACTACTCGAATCATATTCGATAATCTGGATGAGCATCACTATTTGATGGTAGTCCACTAGGATCGCCTACCGGTATCGATCATGATTCTTCGACAATAGACCTTCTACATGGGTCTTATAGCTCTCATAATCATGGAGACATCACATCTACATTGGCGGGTGTTCCTATATTAGCACCTAAGGTTCCACCACCGACCTATAAGAGTGGCATCTCCGCTCGTATGTCTAACATTCCGGATAGTTCTCATAGCTCTTCTAATCGATAACGCATTTCTATTGATCGAGTATAGTATGTAATTATTTTTTTTACTTTAAATAATTCCTGTGTTGTTCTTAATATTTCGTTTATCATTTTATTGTTCGATAATTTGACTCCACCTAACGGAGATTATTCTATGAAGATCTTTGACATTTTTAAGGAATGGGTAGACAAGAGTAGATCGTTCGGAAGTCTATCACTAACGTAACTAAAGACTTCTACTTTAATGAATTTTGAGTAACGTATTATCAATATTCTTTATAATTACGGTAAAAATTTCTCATCGGATAAAGTTGTTAATGTTAATTTTTTATTCATGCATAAATATTTTGATTGGGATGTGAACATCAAGGCATTTGTTAGAGTTGCATAGGAGGGTATGGCCAAGAAACGCTATGCCGACTTCATCTACAAGATCGGTAAGATGAACGATTAACCTATTTATATTAGTCGGGATAACTATGATGCATGGTGAGTAGATTTCAAGAGACCCGGTCACGTGGCTCGTTCGGAGCAAGCTTCCGAGCATATAGGGGGCTCCATATCTTCGGAAGAGCATGCCTATCTCTTGGTAAATTTTACATTCTTTGTTATTATTTACTTATTTTAGAAAAATTTTAATTTTCTTCGATATTATCTATAATGAATTTTTTTTAGGCAATAAAATTGGGTCGTCGACCAATGAGTTTTGAGTTGTTCTAGA